AGAAAAAACCGTTTTTTTAAATGGTAAAAACGTTATTTGCTTATTGAAAAAGTCTTAAATTCAATTTAAATAATAAATTTCATATGATGACTTTCTATTACTATAATAATAATGACTAATTAAATTTCTGTATAATAATAATGGGCTTCGTATCATATATCACTTACCTAAAAATTTCAAAAAATTTATGATAAATAGAATTTATGATAAATAAAACTTATGATAAATAAAACTTGATAAAAAAACTTGATAAAAAAACTTATGATAAAAAAACACAATTTTTTTTTCGAATTAATTCCTTTATATATTAATAATAATAAAATATGACGGGTCTCCAAAAATATATTTTTCTATTAATAAAAAATGGCAGGTCTCCAAAAATATATTTTTTCAAATAAAAATACAACAGGTCTCCAAAAAAATTTTTTTTTAATTAATAAAAAAAAACGGCAGGTCTCCAAAAATATATTTTTTTAATAATAAAAAAAACGGCAGGTCACCAAAAATATATTTTTTCAATTAATAATAAATAAATTCGGCATGTCTCCAAAAATATTATCAAAAATAAAAAAAAAATTTTTCCATTAATAATACTATTAATGATAAGTAATAATAAAAATACGGGCAGGCCAAAAATATTTTTCTTGTTTGTTTGTTAGCATTGATGTTATGTTAATTAGTGAATAATATATTTTCGGTGACAAATTTCGGATGTGATAAATATTGATCGACAAAAAAAACGGCAGAAAAAAACGGCAAACATATATTTTTGATGCACACATTTCACATAATCCACCATATCAGGCAAAAATGGGTTTTAATAAAATAAAAATAAAACATTCAAGCCTTTATAACTTTTACTAGCTTATTATCATTATATAAAGGTTGTGATTATTTGTGATATGCTTTATTGATAAAAATTAGATTGCATCCAACTAGTAGTCCATGAAACAATTATTATACCTTTTAATGCCATAAAATACATTTTGGCTTTATGAATTTGTTCAACGCAAAATTATTCATTTTGATTTTATTTGGACTTGGATGGTGAAGCAGTCGGTAATCCTGACATTGGAGGCCGGGTCACTATACGTGGCTTTTGAATAAGTTTATGATAATATTTGATCATTCGTATCTACAAAAATGTTATAAATGTGATGAAGTAAGGAACCATAGACATTTTGCAGGATTAAAACAACAGAACTTACTTTGAATTTCTTTACTATTTTGACAATATCTCCAATATGTAAAAGGTTCAAACCAGAGTCTGGTATGACAAAAGCATCATATTCGTCAACGACATACATGTCACCAATCAAATGCATGCTTAAAAAATGAAATTCACGTCCTGTTCAAAATGGTCAAGTTAATCACGGTTTTTGAATAAAAAATCATCAAGGCTTGTATAGGCCACTTACCATACACTAACACAGCAAATGATTGCAATTTGGAGGTGTTCTCACCAGATCGGTGTGCATGCTGATACCAAAGAGATATTGTCATTGCTACGATTAAGAGAAATAGAACTAGTTAGATGTCATGTTTCACCAAATGACTGGAATTACAGATATACCTTTTAATAATTTCTCTAAATCGTCATTTTTGTCAGATGTTATAGTAGCAAACGCATTTCCCACTACTTCGATAAATCCAATTCCAACCTTTACACCACGTATATTCATGTATAGGATTCCATCATGTTTATCTCCAAGTCTCTCACGTTCATTCTCTTGTTTGGTGAAATTGCGTTGTCGTTTTCGTGAATCATTTTCAATTTCTCCGCTAGTTTATTATTAATATTAATTAGGATTAGATTCACAAATTTAGGAATGTAAACTTTCAAAGAAAAACAATTTACGTCTTTATCCACAGAGCATCTTCAACATCGTAAAAAATTGATGCCAGAAGAGGGTTAACGATTTCATCTCGATATTGATATTCGCTAGAACTACTATCTAACAAAGCACTATGCCTACGCAACAATTGAAGGGCCCTGGAATAAGAAAATTCGATTATTTCATTTAGCGGTCGTAACAATATAAAAGAAATCTATCACAAACTTACATCCGTGTATAGAAATCCTGACACCAAAACAATTCATAAGTTTCTCGGTGTTCATATTTGTCAAATTGTTGTTTCGTAAATGATGTTATAAGCGCATTAAGATCAACATAAAAAGTATCTTCATTTCCATTTTCTTGGATGATTCGATGGTTATTGTCCACCAGTTTCTTTAATGAGCACCCATTCCAACATTCTTCGATCTCTTTTTTACTAATAAATTCTTCGGCCTCATTGTTATTAAAAGAATTTTTTTATCATCAATTCAATGTTTATAACTCTCGTCTAAGTGCAAAAGATAAATTTACCTCTGACCATTTATTCTTTATCATGCACATCTGATCCATTGGTAATTTTTTAAAGAGTTGTTTCGTGTAAGGAAATTCGACATCGAAAAGACAAATAATGTTATAATTTTCCAAGTGCGATTTTGTCTCTAAACTTTCCAGTAACTGACCAAGCTCACTCTTAGTTCCAATAAACGACATAAAAACACATTAACGGTATAGTGGAAATTAGGATTACCTCAATTCTCTGAGCACTAAATATATCTACTTCTTCCTGGACTCTCTCCACAGAGTCCTCATAATACAATACACTATCAGATTCCGATTGATCACTCAAATCAATTGTAGTTTTCTTATTTCTGCTGTCGGATTGAGAGGGATGTGACTTCCGCTTCAAAGCTATTAATTCCGCACCATAAAGAAAAGGTTAAATACACATTTCAATACATAATGTAAAATGAGTTCAATTGTATTACCAGTAGATACAGTGACTTCATTTACATCCACATTGCGTATATCCTCGATTTCTATTCTGGCCACACGATGTTCCTTATAGAATTGTCAGTAAGACTATTGTGATGTTTTATTCCTAAGTTTGTTTCAAACTCACCTTTAATGTTTGTAATGTATTTGCTGATGTTACATTTCGACATACTGCTATATTGAATTCCTTTCTTTCGTTTTTTAATTGAACTTCATCGATAAAACGTTTCACATCATCTGAAGAAAATGATTTATCGTAATTTGATAAAATTTTATTCGCCTTGTTTTTGGCATACACTTGTGTATTGCATCTTTTGCACAAACTCCGTAGTACTGAATATGAATCAGTTTTGAGGATGTCAATTGTATCTCTAGATAATTCAGATTTTGATGCTGTATATTGCAAGATGGCAATGATCAACCACTCCTTGTATGGTGTACTTTCAAGATAATCATTCACTATTGATTCAAACATCTTGGTAAAGATAAGAGGTATAATTAGTTGCAAAACATATGAAAGTCTCTACACATGACAACTGACAGAAGAAACATGTAGTCAACGATATACTGGAAAACAGCATGTAGAGTAAGGCCTTAAGCAACACATGCAAAAGGAAATTCCTAGAGACTGCTTCCAAATATCTGGCATAGGAAGTAATGGCCATATACCAGTAAGTATATACAACACAACCTGGACACTAACATGCAGGGTAATGCCTTAAGCAATGCATGCAAAAGGAAATTCCTGGAGATTAGCACCAAGCATCTAACACAGGAAGTATTGGCCATATGCTAGTAGGGATGTGCGTGACTAATAGCATGAAAATAAAATCATATACTTGCCTTCATGAAACATATTGACAATTTGACTGAAGTGACAAGAATTAATTGTTTTGGATTATATATTTTTTTTAATTGAAAAAAAGATCTATGTGTATTACAGTCAGGGATTATACCCTAAATGGAAATGGTTACATCTCAAAATTTGATTGGCCATTGAGAGTTTTTTAAAGTGATTTTCATTATAATTTTATGAGAAATTTTTTTAATTTTAGAAAAAAAAAAGTCTTCGATAAGATGATAATGAATCTGATATTTGAAGTAACTTCAAAGAGCAAGAACAACAAGCGTGTTGAACGTTCAACAACAATCTATAGTTATTATGAACCTTAATAATAATAATCAAATATTGAAAATGGAACTACAATTGGAAAATAAAAATTGTGAAATAACAGATTAAAAAAAAAAATTTAAACGGTTCTCATAATCAAACAATTAAAATTAATAAAAGTATATTCATCAGTCTCAACCATCTGAATAAACATAAACATATTTTTATTAACCCACGACCAGAACTATTTGCTAGTATTTGACATATTTGTCTGATTCTACTTAATTAGAATATGTTATCATTCTCCCACTACAATAACCAGTACATGGCCTATTGGGTGTGCGACATTCTAAGAAAATCAAAACTAATTAATGTCATATATTGATTGGTTATATGTGTTTTTTTTTTGTGATATGCATATCACTTACAGGATTTCCGAAATTTACATAAAGAACATATTAAACATATTGTTTTCAAAACACAACTCCTCCTCCGTTTTCAA